TTACTCTTCGTCTCACCAGTCTCATTCTGTCGAATATGGCATTTTGTTATGAGACTGTGTAATATATGTAAGCTTATGCGGCACCCGAACTCCTTGCCAAAACGGCAGAAGGTTTACCTGTGTGCCTCACCAGGAGGCCGTGAATAAGAAAATATTACAATATTTATGCAAATTCAGTAGCACAATTTGTCAAATGAAAAAACAATTTAAGCGATTTCCGCCTAAAATAGTAACAACGTTCGCAACTTCCATACGTCAAACTTTTGAATAGATCGGTGGTTATCTTGGATTATCCCTTCGCTCAAAAAAAAGACCACAGGCAAAACTTTGATCGTTCGGAAGCAACTATGGAAAATGAAACATCTCAATATGTGCCATCTCTTCGGCCTTCTTTTTGTACACATGAGCAAATTTATCAGAGTCGTCAATTGAAAACCTGGAGAATACATGCATAACATAACGACGAGTCTCATGTGTGGTACCTCATTGTTGAGAATTTACTTATGAAAGAATCTGAAAGTCCATGCTCAATAATTCAGCTTGCCTGGATGAAATTCAGGCTTACCGTTGTATGCAAATCCCTTGCTTGGTGATGGGAGCAGCTACCATGTACCAGCCAACGGTGGATTACGTTTTGCAGTTCACAAATGGTCTTTTATTGTCCCTTCTATACTGTGCTGATAACGTTGACAGAACAACAAAAAGCTGCATTAAGTTATTAGATCGATCAATGTGGTAAATTTTCATGATATTGTCGCCTCGAAATTACGCCTTAGCACATCACGTGTAGTCATGTGTGAAAGTTATTCATGAAACTTGTCTTTGGGATGTTTCCTCTGACTGCACAGCCAGCAAAATCAACTCGCGAAAATGAAACTGCTCCCCGTCTTGGATATGATGCCATTTCATTTGAAGTGAATAATGAGAAGATGCTGGTTGTGGAGAATACTTAAAACTAACCAGGACACGAAATTCGTAGTCGGTGTATACGGAAACTAATCCTTTGTTCTAATTTTGCTTAAAGTGTAATTCATTTAGTAGAAGAGTTTGCTAATTGTGTAGAAACTTGATGGTCATTTGCCTTATGGTGACTCCGTACGACTAAAGCATGCTTATGCTTCTATTTGGTTGGGTTGGTTTGACGGTTGCAAAATTTAATTTTCACATATTTCCAAAATCCTTGGACCAATGAAGGACGGCAGAGCTAATACATAATAGGACTGAATATAATGATATTAAAAGTCCAGAATAGCCAATCAATATTTCATTTTGCTCATAAACGAATTAATATGTGTTGGACGGGTAGCATTCCGCGTAACATTATTAGTTTATGACTTTGAGAGAGTGAGCGGAAGAGTGAGTGGAAGAATTTTGACAGTCGAGTGGAAGCAGCTCAGAGTAATTGGTAACTTGATTTTATCCTAATCTGGATCTCTGTGGATAATTGAATTCATTTTATCCTCTCTTCCTTTTTCGCTGAAATCGTTTCACTCGAGTTTGCCGAGATTTTCCGTTATTAAGTTTTATGATTCTTCTTTTCTGGCCAAGAGGTACGTACGAACTTGTATAAAGAAATCTTTCAATGGTGCTGGATGGCTCTTGTACGGTTGGCTTTTACCAAATGAGGTTCAGATTCAGATCGAGTGGAGTGTCTGTTTCGAGGAGGTGCCACTAAACTAGTGCCAAAAAGATATCATGACGTAGTTTATTGCAAAACGAAAATAAAATCGGATTTAGAGCAACAAGTCACCACTAGTGTTTACTTTAGGTTTTGACAGCAAAAACTGGAACATGATTGCAGTCCACCACTTTTTCTGCTAGAATCTTACCAGCAGCTACATACATGTGTGTATCAAATTCAAGAATCACTGCACTGTTCATCATAAGAGACATATGTTGACTGCAACTTTCTATATTTAACATTTGCCAAAAACTCCCACTGTCCTATTGCAAATTAATCATGGATTTACAGTACGCGTGTATGAACATGCATACGCGTTTAATATGCCATCTTCCTAAAGCAATGTATCCTCTATCTTGTTTTTATGGGGGGCGGGGAGGTGGGGAAGGCAATATAATTTTGTTAAATGGTAGTTCAGAATTCAAATTATATATTTTTTGACCTTTAATGTTCCAACAGTAATACACAACAAAATACACAGGTGATAAAATCGTAACGAAAAGCTACGCATACTTACATAAGTATGCACATACATTTGCCATGAATTATCAGGCTTAATTTCTTTAAGTGCTTCTATTCATGAACCAATGACTGCTCTTAAATATGAGCTTTCATAATTAATGTGGTTCGAAATACATTCAAGACTCCACGCGCCATCATGATCAACTCGCAAGATTACAAATTCCTATGTTAATAGCATTGCAAAAGTGCAGACCAAAAAAAATGAAGTTAACGAAACATCTTTCGTTGCATTACGAAGAAACAATTTTGCATTGCACTTTAAGAATAAGAGCACTGAGTAAGTAGAGCAAGTTGAGAATTCGGTTGTGGTAGGCATATGTAGCTCGATATTAAAAATTCAAAGGCACGTTATTGCTATGCGGCGAGTTTATGCAGTCTGGTTGATTGTGATTGCGAATTAACGAAGATACTCTTGGTTCATACATACGCTTTATTGCAGGACGGAAGCGAATACGTGCTTTTTTTTGCACGCCACCAAAAGGGTAAAACCAATCGATGTCCACAATACAATGGAGAAAAGCAGAAAGAACCAACACTTTTTAGAAGCGGAATTGAACCTGTTCAGTTTTATTTTATGAGCGCCTGCCGAAGGTCTTCCCCGAGCTACGTGTCATCCGACGACGTTTATCAACTTAATCCACACGGCTTGCAGTTAAACTATTTTTATGCCAGCACTGAGCCAGTGCTTTCGCTATTAAGCTTTATTATGGCTGGCTGCTGCTCCTAAATATTTCTTCTGCTACTTCATCAACGGAACTTGCGAGCTTTTGGGATTGAGCTGTGAGAATTGCGATTGCATTAACATTAGGTTTATGATTTTCTCTCTGGACACTCGACTCGGCACTTTAAACACTTTTAAAATCGGGTAAAGTTCGGCCCTAACTTATGTACACTACTCTCAGAAATTGGTTCACCTTTTCCCAAGATTATCTCTCGCTGTACAATTGAATTTACATATAAATTTGGGCAGCCTCTTTGTTATAATATTGGTCTACGCAGGATCAATTTTGAGCCTTATTATTGTAATATTTTGCACTTGCAAATTGTTTCCCAATCTAAATAAGCCAGTTAATTCGGTTCACTTTGTCCGTTACTGGTTTTATCTCGTCCTACGTGAGTGTGTAGCTGTCCGGATTTCATTTCATACATAGAAAGGAATTCCACAATAATAATCGTCCGCAGTGAGATTTTGGGATGATGACCACTTGGTAATCTGTAATAAGGCCATTACAGGCTGTAAACCTATGTAACTGGTCTGGTAGGCTACTACTGCGTAGCTCTTCCTACCTTCTTCACCAGACCGCAATAATCGAGCTTATATATAAAAGTGTAGATTTGCGTCCTGAGTAAGCTCTCCCACAGAAAATAGGCTTTGTAAGATGACCTCAGGGATTCTGCTCTACACAAACCACTTCCACTTTTGGTGAAAATGACTAGTTGGAACTGGAAGATTATCGGAGTGACAAGCGATTCCAAATTCGGTGTGGAAATATGAATTATGCATCAGATCTAATCTCATCTACATTTTCAACTCACTCTTCTCTTGGAGTACATACAGTGTACCATTCCACAGTTATTTCTGCTGCACACCATTAAAATTGCCTCATCCCTCACTTGGAATAAAAATTACAATGTAGGACAAATAGGTAGTTTGATTTGCAGTAGTGGCAGTACTTTGTTCTCGTCGTAGTAATAACTTTGCACACACGAATTATTTATTTAATGAGCAAGAATTATGTAGTTATCCACCCTGATCAAAAGTTTATGGAAGTTCACGTGAACGTTACAAGACTCAATTCTCATGTGCGTATTGTATGCTTCTTTTAATGCGAACTAATAATGAGTTTGAACACTGGAACAAGGCCCAACCGTTTGTACTTAAAATTAACTGCATACTTATATGAGTACCTATGTGCGTATGAATGAATGTACTTCAAAACATGGGCCGTCTTGTTACGCCGAAACTATTTTGAACTTTCCAAGCAAATCAGCGATGAGTGCTCATAATCTGAAAGATCATTAAATTTAGAATTGTCATTCATAAAGGGTGTACAGCCACAAGGTGCACAGATCTAATGGAGCTGACGAACCTGTGCTCATCAATTTCGGATTTATGTTGAATTGGTTGTTGATCAAATGAAAGTTGAGGCAATGAAATGAAACCATAAAGTTGTCCTCCAAGCTTGGTTGGAATGGGATTTAATAAGATTCAACTAAAGTTTAATATAAATTTTGATGGAAAGTTTTATGAGACTCTTTTGCCACTGGCAAATCCATCGCTCAACAATTCTACATTTGGTGGTTTTGCCCGTGAGTAACAGATCGTTTTTTGTGGACTTTTGCTTTCACTTTGTCCTTTCCCTGGATTTCAAATACCAGAAAACCGTGGGGGAAGCAGAAGGAGAGGCAGATTCATCCATTTACCGTCTCACCATTGCATTTTGAGTGCTGTGTTCATGCCTCGCTGAGCTTGATTCTTAAACCAACGTTCCTTCGGGGAAGGAACGTTGAATTCCTCGCCGGAAAAATATTTGCAAGTTTTGTGACGGAATATTGTGGTTGTATTTGGTGCTGGTATTGTGGTGGAGTCACATACTCGCGTTCAGCTCCACTCATTTCTTTTCTTCCTGGCCTCCACTTTTTCTTATACGCGATGCCATGAGTTAACGGCACACATTGCGAGTCAATTTTCCAGTAATAATTGAAGAATTCCGTCCAACTCTAGTCTAACTCAACATGCAAATGTAATTTTCTGCTTACGCTCGACTGGTATAAATTTGGTATTAATTTCCTACAGGGACATTTATATGGGAACTTATGGGACGAAGAAAACCACGGTGAAAGTCGACTAGAAAGAGCGACTACCTGCTTGAATGCGATCATCTCTCATGGAAGGAACCCGGATGTGGTGGTGAACCAGATCGGAGCTTGAGAGAAAGTGAAAGACAGAGAATTCACAATGGGGAAAGACGAGACGGACTTGGATAGCGTGTACGTCACGTACTGGGAAAGGTTACAGGTAACCAGAAATTGCGATAATGATAAAACAATTGAAAGCGTAATTTAAGTGATTATTGTATACATACCATGAAACTGTAATTGTGAAAATATTTTTTTTGTTACAGCATTCCCTCTTTCTCTCCTTTCTTCTTGCGGCCATATGTGCAACAACTACATTTCTGATACTAGCATTCGCAGTGGGACACGTGAGTGCCTAATGATTCATACCCTGCACTTTCTCTAAAATATGCCAAGCATGTAATTTTACAAGGGTTTATATTGATCCTTGACCTTGCTTTCACTTTCAGAATGTCGTCAATACTACGCCCCAAGTATCTTTACTGATCACAACATTGGTGATTCTGCTAGTAATATTTCTAGTTTCACAGGTGGGTACTAAATACGAGCATGTGTATGTATGCTTGTGCTTTTCCTCGTGTTAATTCTATTTTGTATCTTCCAAACAGTTTCCAATTTTCCAAAAGAGGCATTTTTCCGTGAGTTTGAGTCTGCTCGTTATATCCTCGTTAACAGCAGCAGTTTTCATTTCCACTCACATTTCGGCCCCCACCAGACCTGGAGACTGCACTGTTCCCATATTCATTCTGGTCTTTGCCATCAACACAATGATGCCGCTTCCACGATGGGTTGCGGTAAGTGCACTTGAATATAAATATGTGAAAAATAGTTTAGCCTTTACGTACTGAAGACACATTTGGCACATATTTATGGTTAGTGGACGAGAGAGAGCTCGGTTTGTTAATCGTGTTGAATTATTTTGTACTGGCACTTTTCTCGACGAGGAAAGTTAAGTCGGATAAATGTCGCATTCCTTTCTCGGTACTTATATACCTCTCGATACCTAACTCCTTATCATCACCTCGTTTCAACCTTTCATTACTTAATGAGTCGGCCATTTCTCATCCAACCAACGAATTGTCCGCAATGTAACTAACTGCAACCTTGTAAAACTTAATAGATTGCCGCTTCCATTGTACTCGCAGTGGTTCATCTCCTGCTGGCTGTTCTCTTGTCCAATGACTTTGTGGATTCTCTTGCTGCACAAGTAAGCCATACAACTTTATAATTTTGAAACTTTTGAGGCTGTGAACAATGGTTGACTCATTTGGAAAGTGCTATATTTGAACATATATCTATATGCGTATGTATGTATATTGTATGTAATAGCTACACATACATAGTTCCTGCTTTTGGGTTTTAGCTCTTCCTTCAAACTTTATAGTTCATGCTGTGAGTCGTATTCGAGATTCTGTGTTTAACGATTAGCGCAGGAGGAGATAATTACGAGGATGCAAAGTTATTGTCAACTTTCTCCAAGTTTCTGATTGCTTACCTCCATGCAAGAGCACAGAGTTCCCCAAAGGCACACTTGCTCAAACTAGTTGAACATTTTATTGGATCAATTCGTTGAGCATTCTGATCACGTCCAACAGCAACTGTACATTTGTTTAAATTGCGGGCATATCAATTTTATATCTGCTCGTGTTAAGGGGCTTCCTATTAATGAGTACTGTGCCCGGCAAAAACAGAGAGGGGTCAAAGCAAGAAAGGGTCTGTGGGGTACCACGTTACAAAAAAAACATTAATAGAAAATTTGTTTCCCTATAAAATTTGTCGACATCTGACCTCTGTGACCTGTTATTAACGGGCGAAACCCATTAAAGGGAATACCTTGTCAATCTGTATGCTCATAAGTTGAGAACCGATGCGAATTTTCAAATGTGCTTCTAATATGCTGGGGTGTGGTAGTCAAAACTTGGAAAGTATTGCTGGATGGCATTCATGCGGGTGTTCTACATTGGATAAGATCATGTTAACCCGATGGGTGTGCCGGAAGCCCGTTCCCGGCCACATTTAAGATTTTGGGATTGTGAGATTTATAAATAACTAGGGAACATGACGGGAGACGTTTTTGAAGAGGTGTGGCGACCCCCCACGGCTGGGATGATATGAGATAATGCAAATAAAATATAAATACGAGTTAAAATTTTAAGAAAGGGACGACTATATGGGGCCTATGTTGACCCCTCTCTGTTTCTACCGGGCACACAGTTGCTCAGGCCCAGTACTAGTATTAATTGTTCATTTTATTAGTGATTATGAGTGAAGATCAGCATATGCATATCTAAAGTTATCCCGAATGACAAAAATATATCGGTCTGCAATCGTCTGAGCAGTGTTTATGTAGACATACAATCAGAGTTGAAGATGTGAAAGTCTGCAGGAGATATCTGTCACGTGCAGACAGACGAAAATCTCCTAACGACGACGCTTCGTACTACTGTTGTGCACGTCTGAACGCTTTTACTTGAAGTCATGTAGCGTGGGCATTTACGAAAAGAAGTGCTGCTCTGGTTATATAGTCGATTCAAAACTAGTATACTTTGATTTTTTGGTAGTGTTCACCATGCTATAAACTGAGATAGCCTTGTGACTTGATGTGATGAAACAAGACCTGTTTTGTTCGATGGCTACTGCCATAACACGATTGTACACACGTTCTCTACCTTTACTGCTTCTTTCTCTCAGACTCCAAGGAAAAGTTCAATAGGAAGACAAGACAAGAAGTTGACCTTGATTCGTCAAGACAAAATCAAAGAGGAAGGGACGATCTGACGATAGAATACGTAGGTTGCGGACATTGGCATGTACAGTATCAAAAGCAGTTAACGGTGTTCCTGATCAAAACAAAAGCGCTGAAAGTTCTCTATGCAGGAACATGTTGTAAATTGAAGTACGTTAAACAGTTCAAAGTAGAGCAAAATGGAGCACAAAAAAAACTAATAGTAAAACTTGAGTATTTTTTAAACATTCGAAATATGCTAAAGTATTTTACGGAATTCTCGGAGAGACGCGTAATATTTTAGTTTTTTATTTCACTTTCTCATTTGTATGTGCAATAACGCAATTATATTAAAAATAGTTTCTAGCTTGTACTGATTCTATTTGCGTCTGCCATTACTCATTCATTCATTTCTTAACGCTTCAATAAGTGTACGAGATCAGGAAGCAATTCCAAGTGTGCAGTTTTCCTCTTGAACTCGGCATCTAACGGTTTGGTGTTCAAAGAGCTGACACCACCTCTCACCAGTGAAATCTCAGATTTTTGATGGGATGTGCCGTGATGTGTGTGGAGAGTAAGAGTGAGATAAATGAAAAGTTGAGGAAACTATCCATCTTGGGTGCTCAACGAGCTCACTGCTTTTTCAACATCATTAAACGCAAATGCTCACCATTCCATGAAACATGTTGAATTGCTGTAATAATAAAAGTATGGGCTCACATTTCCCTTTCTTTCGTACATACGTATATCTGTACCCAGTAGAAATGTTCAATTTGCAACACCAGCACTTTCAGGAGTTTTAAAAGTCATTTGAGTGATCTTTTTCCGTTTTTGTCCGCTCAACTGGCTCCAAAAAAGAATTATTTGCTAAGCTCGAAGACACATTTGCTGGTTCAATCTCGATTCTGGCACCTGAAATCGAACCCATCCAAAATGGACCAACGGCTTCAAATGGTACGATAAACTAGACTTGTACGCACGCATAAGATTTACTTTGGAAAGTTTCTGCAATATATTTGTATTTTGTCTCACTACAAATTCGTATAATCCGATTGGGTTCAGACCGAGGGAAGCCAAAATTGTTGCGTTTGCAAGCGATCGATCTTAACTAGACACTAGTTTCGTGGCAGGTGGATGAAGAGGAACAAAAACTCTGCGACTGGCAGGAGTAAGTAAGCTATCAAAGTCTGTGTATCCATCTGAGACAAGTGACACTTGGTCCACTTATGTGTCACACCCCAATCCAAAGTTCAGGTTACGATGGATGGATCAGTGTCAGTGTCATGGATAAACATTTAAATTACAAATCCTAATACCGATTTACGACCAATATAATATATATCTTAATATTTTTGAGTGGGGTTTCAACTCTAGGTGCATGTTCTCATTGTGCCTAACTCACCATAAGAAGCAATGCGATGCGATGCGATTCAGTGAAGTGGATGATATGTGAAAGTTCTAATATGAATCCTTATTTATTATTTTATCCTGGATATGCAATAAATGTGATTGAAACGGGAGGCCAAGTTCACGGTTGTCGAGGCAGAATGTCTAAAAAATGAAATTGAGAACAAAAACGGATACTTTTAATGCTATGAATAGAAAGACATCAAACATCCATCAGAGAACGAAACCTGTATGTGTACCTTAGTCAACCAGAGGAAGAGAAAAGTCAGTTTTGATCACTTGCATAGGAAATGAGACAAAACATATTGAAGGGAAAAACTCTACGATTTTATGTCTCACCGAATCCTCTTCCAGTCAAAGAGATGAAATTGAAATTGTAGGTACGGACCGGTGAAGAAGAATGGTGCACATGTGAGCTGCGAGTATTAGATAGCTCAAAATCTATTAACCGTAGGTACATGTGCATTATTAATTTATGTTTCCTAAAAATACGGCTTGCATCTGCATACATAATTTATCAGCACTATCAAATTGGCTGCAAGCTATGCCTACCCATTTATGTGCACTTTCACCTGAACTTATCCAACGCATTCTTAGTCAAGCGAGGGAAAAATATGAAACCGGGTTCTCCAACTGTTGCCAATATTGTGCTCTTGTGTAAGCGACATAATCTTGAAATGGGGAAGGACGTTTTCGCACTAGAATGAGCTTTGCATTCTCATGCTGCATGCTCCAACTTTAATCCCAATCTTGAGAGTCCTTTGGCTGCTGGGTGTAAGACTGGGCTGCGATGATGCAAGTTGTCGTGTACGATGGAATTTTCCTCTAAATCCGATTAATATGGATGCTGTGTGCCTGAAAGTACGTTGAGCGAAAGAAGGAAAGAGCTCCGATGGGATTTTTACTTTCACTTTGTTGTAACAATAGAAAAGTGAACGTGATTTCTTCTTTAGTCAGCTCAAGTTATCCACAGTCCATTTATTTGTCACGGTGCACCATTGGAGTGAAAGTATCAATGTTTGTTATCAACTTAAAACTTTTCAACCATTATTCCATTCTATTTACGACAACAATCCGATTTTCATATAAAGATTACGTTTTGAGTTGTAAATACGATGACGTGTGTCGTCTGCTACAGATATTTGTCTAATATAATACATACTTACTGTTTCGTATGCATTGAATGATTCAATGCAGACGATTTCAATACATTCAATAGTGAATGTGATGCATTTATTTTAAACTATTACTTATAATCGCTTTGTATTCTAGGTGTTTGCGATTGCAATTTTCCATCTATCCGCCCTTCTCGGAGGAATCTATCATCATGAAATGGCGGTTATAGCGCACAAGAGGACCTGCCAAGGGACAAAGACTTGTTTGGAATCCAGAGTAAAACTGGAGCATGAGAAGGAGCAACAGGAACAATTACTTTTATCCGTCATTCCCGCGTATATAGCGGCGGAGGCGAGTAAACAATCTGACCATACTATTTATAATAATGACATAATAAGAGCCTGCTATGATTACCTGCTAAAATAATGCATTTATCATCACCCAAAAAACGAGCAAATATGACATATCTCCACATTTATCACAAGATGAATGTCAGCATAAGAACGCCACATTACGCTGTCGCACCATACAAATTGGACAACAAAATTTGTCCTCGATTTCAGCAAATTTGTTCTCCAAATATTTCAATCTTTCTGTACTTGTGTTTAGACTATTTCTAGAACTACTAGCACTTATAGGCATATATTGTGGCAGAGGTCAGTAACGTATTAATGAATAAGTTCCTATAGACCAGCTTACATTGCTGCCGAAGTAAGTAAAAGCGTCTAATTTATTTCCATGTATCGTCCACAAGTACATAAATGTAGGTGCATGTAAGCCTCCGATACAGATGTGTATGTGCCATGTTCTGAGCAGCATTGCGATTAATTGAGTTGCAATTAATTTTGACGGGTTGGTGCACAGGGTGTTTCCCATCAGAAAGTTCTGAGCAAAGAGCTCGGAATTGAAGTTTAGTCAATCCCAGGTACAAGGATGTCCAGCTAATATTCGCAATGCAATACTCGTCTATAATTAGCAATCATTCTAATAAATTCAAATTTTGCAATAAAAAATCAATAGTAACTTTTCATAGGAAATCGACAAATTGTTAGAAAATAAATTAGTCCTGAATGACCGTTAGACTTGCGAACCTTTGGTCCGACATATTCTGACCGGACGAAGACTTTTTTGTCCCTCTGTGTCAGTGTCGATCGACGGAAGAACCATGTCAATTAGAGAAACCGAAATGGGATATACCAATGATGTAACTTGGTTCCCTGAAATTGGAAATGAAAGATGTCGTAAAAACTATTTTATCGAATTGGTTGTCCGTCTTCCTCTGCTCATTCTTGTGGTCCAATAAATTGCACATTTAGATGCTTCTCACACACTTTGCTGGATTATAGTTTTTATGGCGTACGACCACAACCGCAATGCTGGTTGTTCCTTAGCTGCGGTGGGGTAGGGCTATATATACGTACGTAATATGTTCGTAACGTATAGCTACCGGTATCGGCACAAGAGTTTGATTGGATTCTTCAGCTAAATTCCTTTTATGTGTACATGAAACTTTGTGTGTGCAAGTCCATCAACGAGTAATTCTCTGTTGGAGCATTTTCCTCAATTTACGATGTTGCCATTTCTTCTGGCGAACAAAGTTTTTGATGCAAATCAACTATACTCCTTCATGGCATGAAAGTTTCCGTTCTACTAATTCCGTACAGAATTTTTATCCCTCAACCATGTAGTAAATCTTCATTCTTTTTAAGGAAGATGTGTATTTTATGCGATGGGTACGAGTTTCAGATAAAATATATTTGCAGAACAGAAGAGTTTCCTTTTATCTCCATTACAGAATGTCTAGCTGGGGGAGGATTGTTGGCGGAAAGCACAAAAATTAAGTACCCTTTATTAAAGTTAATGAGAATGCGGAACAGATTCCCCAGGCTTTGTTTCATAAACAGTATCTTCTGATTAGAATTACCTGGAGAGATGGTTAATTCTCTGTCTCTCTCTCTCTCTCTCTCTTTATGAAGGAAGACGAAATTCAGCACAGGTTCCCTCCAGATTCGAGTTTATTCATTTATCCTGCAGAAGCTTGCTCTAGGAAAGCAAGGAACGCAATTTACCGCAGACATTATGTGGAGGAATTTCTTTTCGCACAAACAGAACGAGCTGCTCATTCATTCAAAAGAAACATTCATTCTGAAACTGGGTTGGTTAGGAAAGAGAAAAAAAGAAGCTACTTACTCGCTGCACATATAGATAAGTATGTAGCACATAAAGAGCGGTTACTCATCGCGGCACTATGTTTTCTTCTCTGAGATTGCGGTCTGTAATGGCAGCCATGAATTTACGTTTCATAAAATTAATAAAAGGTTTCCGTATGGCAGCTTTCTCCGGTTGGGTAATGATGGCAAGGAACATGTAAATCCGTGCCAATTAAGACACAAGTAGTGTTTTCTGCGATCCATCATAATCTGTTCTCCAACAATATGACAATGACAAATTGCTCTCATTCTTTGCACAAGGTAAAAAGAAGCATAATGCTTAAAATGGCTGAACAAATGGATTGCAATCCGACGGCAACTGCGCGCTTCCATGAGATGTACGTGCAAGTAAGTAAAAAAGCCAAAGAGTTCATATTTCTATAAGATCCAAACCTCTTCCTTTTTAATATTTGTACCAAATTAATATAGCGCCACAACAATGTCAGGTAAGAAAAAGAGATTTTTTAAACTTTTTGGTCAAACTGCTTCTACGTCTCTTCCAAACTCTACCGTTTTTTACTACGAAAGTGCAAAGTTTGTCCAAACTAATAATAATGGATTTGAAGCTTCACTACACAAGGAATAAGCATGTTCATATAAAAGATGCATTCAGAAAATTTTCCGTCCCTAAGCCGCTTTCTAACTAAAATGTAGCTAACTTTCTTTCTAGTGGTGGCAATTTGATACTAAATGGAGAGTAATTATCCTAATGTTTAATCGGCTTTATTAAGCGAAATGGAAATTATGTATACATATGTGTACATACATTCTTCATAGTTCCATTTTTCGCATTTCTTTAATCTTTGGGTAAAAGTGGCTTATAAAAAGTGCATTTATATGAACTTCAGCAATGTTTTATGTTCCTGCTCGTCTATTGAAACTTTGTCCAACCTTTCCAAATTAGCCTAGTTAAAAATAAGAACAGTTTTAATAGTTCCAACTGAAGTCCCAGAAATCTACCAAATTTTTTATCGTTATAATTTTGTATACAAATTTTTAAATGAAATGATTTTCTGTTTTCAAAATAGCGTACTATTTGCGGACATTGTGGGATTTACGCCACTCTCTGAAAAGTTAAACGCTTACGAACTTGTCAGAACACTGAACCAACTCTTTGGCAGATTTGATCAACTCGCACAGGTATGAAAATTGAAAGTGTATTAACTAAATATACATACGCATATTGCAAAATAATTTCCAAAATAGTGACTGGTCACGTGTACACTAGATTATTATTTAGGCACCACACAGGAAGTAAGTTCTAGAGTAAAATTTTCGGGGATAAAGGAAGCCTACACAAAGATGTTCTTGATAAATCCGGATAATGCATAATCTGTATAATGTACATTATTAAAGGACGCATGTACTAGAATGTATGTATGTCATACACAACAAGTAGGCAAAGTCCTCCAAACTTCGCTTCTAATTTTGTCCACCAGCACTACTCATTCAACTTTGTAAGCTAAGTTGTTAGCTATAAAGTCCCTCTGCTTTCACCCTGAGTTTTTCGCTCGTCAATACAAGTAAATAAGAACTGAAGTGTAAAACTTTATTTTGATTGTGCAAGAAGAACTTACCAAGCCCTGATTAATTAATTGGTGGCGAAAGTCTGAATGTTGTATTACAAGAAAAACTTGAGTTGGTGAAAGTCCCTCAATGCAAACAAAAGCGGTGAAAGTTCGGCTGTTTTCATTCTGAGCTCTTTTATATACTTGTGCTCAATAGATTCACTGGGTTCTTTAGATTCTGTCAACTACTGGATTAAATTTAAAACCAGGTTTAACTCAAAAACGTCCCAAATGTCAAGTCAAACATATATGTGTATATGTATGTACATGCAATTCCTTGCCTTCTTTACTGCATCAAAAAGTTAAACATTTTTAGAGCCTTAGTAGAATTAATTTACGAAAATATATTCATAGATTTTATTCTTTTGGATTAGTCTAAGCCATTGATGACCTATTTCATTTATTGATGTATATATACAACACATTTACATCTCTATCATCTCAAAAACACTGTTCTAATATCAAAAATTTAAATAAAACAATTTTCATCTTTTGTTATATGTTTGATGAAATTGTCATTATATTTTCAGGAAAACCAATGCATGCGAATCAAAATCCTCGGTGATTGCTATTATTGCGTAAGATCAACTTTATTTTTTAACAATTATGAAAATATGAGTTTGAACTGTTTTGTTTGTGTGTCTCGTATAAACAGTGACTTCAAAAATTTGTTGTCGAATTTTGCATGAATAATAGTTTTCGTAGCATTCAAAATCTTTGGCTAATGAGATTTTGTTCGGAATTATGTAAATCAAGCATTTGCTTATTTAAACTTGTCATATATTGTATCCTTAGGTGAGCGGTCTCCCAATTTCCCGTCCTACGCATGGTATGTTTTTGGTCAAATATTTTTTCACTGACATGACATGATTTTTAAATAATTTTAGCTGACAACTGTGTAAAAATGGGACTGGAGATGATTCAAGCAATAAAGTAAATTATGAGATTCAATATAGTCTGGAATTACTATTCATATGAATGCATGCATATTCTTGCAGAATGGTCCGCTCTGCCACAGGTTGCAATGTCGATATGAGAATCGGTATACACAGTGTAAGTTTTTGGGATATTAATACGAATACTTTATTCAAAGTAACTAAAGTTTCAACTTACCAAAAATGCAGGGAAATGTGCTGTGCGGGGTGTTGGGTCTCCGAAAATGGTATTTTCTTAGTAATTTACGACCTTGATGATTTAAATTGACAATGGATGTTTTTTTTATAATTTCACAGGCAGTTTGATGTTTGGTAATTGTATAAATATTTATATACAGTACATATGAACAATTTTAAAACAGGCATGATTTCGTTTACAAAAATAGGTCCGACGACGTAACTTTAGCAAATCATTTAGAATCTGGAGGCGTAGCCGGGTAAGCAAGTTTTGTCATACATTCATACATGCATTTTAGTTCGTTTTCAGAACCCTTGTTCACATACAATTCACATTCCAAAACCCATCATCGGTTAGTTTCATTTATTTGCTCCCCTCACATTTGGCATACTTTTGTATTTGAGGCGTGCTTTGTGGGTGTGTGGTACGTCAGTATTCTGGAGTTCAATAAAAACTAATTTTCGTAGCACTACTGTAATCCCAGTGGATTCGGATTTCTACTGGGATTAACTTTAACAAGCTGTGCGTATGTATCAGCTCTTCTGCTCGTTCTTTGATATTTCCCAATACTCATCACTACCCTATAATAATGTCCAATTGGTTTATGTCGTTCACGCTTTATGAGCAAGTGTATGACACATGTGTCTAGGAATATTATTACGAGTCCACGAATCATGAAATCTATTTTTAAGTCCATTCCAAAATCAAATCTGCTACGTTTTTCAGCAGTAATTACATGTGGGTATCATGATTTTATCGATTTATTGTACAGACGAGTCCACATTTCAAAGGATACTTACCACCAACTGAAATCTGGAAAGTTTGAAGTAGAGCCCGGAGAAGGTGGTACACGAGACAGGTAGGGAATAAAATAATCCTGCTACTCTTTATCATCTAGCATCACAATTTATATGTAGATAATTTATAAAGCTATAATTTTTGTCGCCTCAACAATTTGGTGTTTAATGTTTCAAACTGGTAAAAAATCCAGTAAAGCGAAGAATAATAGAATAATAATAAGGATATTTTTTTGAACTAATGAAATACGAATATTTCATCTGACTATAGTTATCTGGCCGATCACCGCGTCCAAACATACCTTATCATCGCACCAAAGGTATAGTGCTAGCTTTCCTATTCCCTTTGCTACATAAATTCTACTTTCCATCACAAATGACAAAAGGAGAAATAGCGACAGACACCTCCCATCCTACCAACCAACTAAATCCACTATTCGACGTCTCTACCTTTGCCACCACGCTACTGGCAGTAGTTCTTTTGCTGCCTTAATTTGATTATAGGGAAGACTGTCACTTTTTGCGCTTTTTGTGAAAGTTGTACAGGTTACACTTGAGCTTTCTCTCCGGAATAAAAGAATGGGATGGTGGTTGGTATGGTTGGCAGCGAGTGTCTGTCTTTTGGGCAGTCAGTCAGTACCCACATCTCAGAATTGATGCTTTCTCCACTTCTAGGTTTCTGACGTTGTGCAGAGCACTGCTCGCAACGGGGACACAAATCTTTCGAGTCCGTCGGCAGCTCCACAGGCTACTTCGTCTACTTCTACTACTGAGGAAAATAATGGACTCCCTAAATTTGGAGTTCAGGCAGGTCGATCGCGCTCTTCCTCCAAGATGACGAAAACTATTGAATGCTGGGGAGCAGATAAGCCGTTCGCGAACATTGCGGAAAATACCTTGGCTAAAACTGTTGGTTTGGCTGTAAGTCGAATGCTGAATGTTTCCTTCGTCAGATGCACATACATATGAAAAAAGTTGATCTCCAAAGTTCACTTTGGGCCACAAAAACAATCACAAAATTTTACGCTCATTTTATTTTCAAGAATAGAGTAGAAGTAGAAACCTTGAATTGTTTCTACCTTTTGTCGGCCTTCAGAAAAGGGTCATGTACATACGAGTGGATATTTTTTAGCTTAAAAATGACGGAACGAGAAACCCATATGTCGGAAATGTTACAAAATACTTACATGTTTTAAAGTTTTTTGTAGAAATATTTAAAATGTATGCAAAATTCCTCCCGACTGATTCAACAGCTTGTGTCCCTTTTTCAGAGCATGGAAATAGAATCAAATTTGATGAAGAATTCAAACACACTTGCTGAATTTCGGTAAGATTATTGGCTTTGCTAGGCTGCAATATTGGGCTCACTTTGAGGCGCTTTGATCATCGTGGTCGTTGAGGTGAGGTGAGGCAACAAAATGATTTCCATTTTATTAAATAGGCAATGTTGTGCATCAGAAGACCTAAACCCTCTGACGCTCTGGTTTCGAAAGGGAAGTCTGGAGACGCAGTAAGTTTTTATTGACATGGTTGTACGAACATATATTTACTATTTATATATTTTAATAGAACTTAATGTAACATTTAGTGTGGTGGCTACTACATTTATCTCATTGTGTCATACGTATTATGAAAAAAATGAAAAAATATTACGTAAAAATGCTTGATTTTTAGAAAATGATGAAAATGAAATGAGAACAGAGTCTCCTTTTATAAGAGAACCTTAAGCAAACATTCCTTAAGTATCTTAATTGATAGATAATTTAATGTAACTTAAACTTGGCCATAGAACATACAAATACGGTGCACGAAACATTTGGCGAAAGCTGCACCAATTGTGGCCAATAGCCATATAAAACTTTATACATATATACACATACGTCAACTACCAAAAATAGTGGTTAATTACACGTGTTGTTTACTAGGTTCAGAAATATGCCCGACCCAGAGTTCCATTATTACATGGCAGGAGCTACTGTAATTTTTGTTTGTATCGGCTTTCTCGAAGCGTGTACCACTCAAGCGTGAGTAATTATCAAATTTGTTCTTGTAACCTTGAGAAAACCAAAAATTTGCTCCAAAAATGATTCGATCACACTGTTCAATATATTTTACTCCACGGCTTACGCTACTATTCGATCACACTAGTGTAAACTAAATAATTGAGTGAAATTGCTTTACGCACCGACTCGTAAATTCCCTTTGCAACAAGTAATAACCAACTCCAGCAGCAGTATCAGTCAGTCATACATTGTCAAATTGCTGATCAAACCAGACCAGAAGATCCTGTGGATTTTGAGAAATTAGTGATTAAGTAATGGATTTATCTTGTTGGGGTTGGTCTTATAAATGCTTGGAGTGCAAAGTGCTGTTATATAGAAGACGAGCAGATCCATGAATGGAAGAGATTGCAATTTGCAATGATATTAAAGTCAACCGCAGATCTCATCGTGCTCAAATTCCCTGTTGTTCTATCCACATTTTAGATGGTTGGTTTTATTGGGTTCCTGCGTTCCAACTCTATTCATGCTCCTCGTCTTTGTCTACTTGAGCTGGCAGGAAAAATGTTCATGTACCAACGGCGAAGGAGAGGACTTTGAAGATGATCCTCATGTTCGCCGACCCCCACATTGTGCAGTCCATGCTTCCGGGGTCATTACGAATACAAGATGGTTGCGACTAATTATCTTCATCACCTCGGCTGGTTTCATCTGCGCTACGTCTCTGATCTCCATTGTAAGTTGCGTTATGATTAAGATGATAATAATCGAATCAACTTTCATTGCGACGTTTTTTGTATATTCAGATGGCTGTAGAATCGCCCTCCACAATTATTGTCCAAACCAATACCACATATGCAAATGATTCACTACTAGATTCGAACTCATCCAGCTTTGGTTATCCCTCGCCCTCTTTTGTTCAAGTGGAGGAGGATGAAATTAACGAAGAATTTGATTATGGTCAAATCATCTTTGTGCCAGTGAGACCTTTGCTCAATTTGCAGTCTTCATTTTTATAAGGAAAAATAAAATTAATAAATTTCAAATTTTACGTTTTTTTAGTATTATTTGTGCAGCTGCTTGATGGCAATTTTAGCAGTGTCCATGTTTCTCAGAGTTGATTATCTATTTAAGTTGATAATCATGATTTGCACTGCCGGAGTCCACATGTTTCTCGTGTCATATGTCAGTAGAGACTTTTTTGCCGCTTACTACACAGATTACAACGACGGGTAAGAAATTTGCAATCTATGAGTTATGTAAATGTGAATTCGAAATTGAAAAAAATGTGTCTGTTTACAGATATCTTTACATTCCTTTTGAACTCAAAACGGCGTTCTTTTTGGTCTTCCTAATTTTCATTCTACATATTTTTGATCGGTGAGTCCAATATTGGCATTATTTTTACATGAGAAATGATTTTATCAAAACATTCCCATTTCCAGACACACTGAATCAACGACAAGGGCAGACTTTTTATGGAAATCTAAGCTACAGGTGGGAACATTCAAATAATTTATATATGTAGTGTGATGGTTGGTCGGGCTGGGGAAACCCAGATCGGAGTGAGATCTCCCGGAGTAATCGGAAGACTGAGAATTTTTCGGTTCTGCAAACTTTCTCCTTTTTGGTTCTAGGTGGAACAGGAGGAAGTCGAGACCATGCGAGGTAAGGCGTCGCTTCGTATCCCAATATGTCAGAAAATGCATACCTTTTTCTTGTACAGGAATCAACAAGATTTTACTTGAGAACATTCTTCCGGCTCATGTCGCTGATCGCTTCTTGCAAAATTTGACTGCAAATGTACGTGTTAAATACTTATTAGTGTACATATTTATTAATTATTAGTGTATATTAATATAATTTGCCCAATTCTAGGACTTGTATCATGAACACTATGATTGCATTGCAGTAATGTTCGCGTCTATTCCGAACTATAAAGAATTTTATGATGAGAATGACGTTAATAAACAAGGATTAGAGTGTCTCCGATTACTCAATGAGATTATTTGCGATTTTGATAAGGTATTTATTTAAGCAGCAGCACGATACTCGATAGTAATATCATTTTAAAAATATGCACATACTTCTTTTAGCTCCTCTTGAAGCCAAAATACAGTTCTATTGAGAAAATTAAAACGATTGGGTACGCACAAAGTACTTAAAATTTTGAACCATAAATTTATTTTATTACTTTTCTAGAAATACTTATATGGCGGCCTCTGGACTTGATCCTGGAAAGGCACAGGTAACAATAAATAAAGATAACAATAAATGATAATTCTTGATTTTTGGTGGAATTAAAACACCCGTAAATTGAATTTTTTCTGATTCTTGCACGAATTTAGGAGAGTAAACGGCAAGAATCTGCTATTGTATCCGTACTCGTTGAGTTTGCAATCTCACTGATGACTAATCTTGAACACCTCAATAAGGAATCGTTTCAAAGATTCAAACTCAGAGTTGGTGAGTTGCTACTCATAAAAAAAGTATAATTTTATGAAATGTTCTACTAGTTACTCGCAAACGCTTTAATTGAAATGCCACAAAGTGACGTCAAATAATGCAAAACAAGACGTCTTGTCTTATTTGGTTAATTCACCTCAGTAATTAAGGCCAACATTTTGCATTATGCATACCCAACTTGTCACACACTAGCAGTTTATACATATATTTGTCCCGAGAAAACCTCATTCTACTACCTCATGCATGCATTCGTCTGCTCGGTTGTGATAAGCTTTGTTGAATGAATTTGGGGTGCTAAGCTCACGTACATCCATACACAAGAAGGATGAGTGGAACGGTTCTCTTGTTTCTTAAACAGAAGTTGAAATGAACTTATAAATTCAATTTAATGAAGATTTAATACGTCCCGAAAGACGGCTCGAGGACGAGGCATAGATGTGCATGGAGGAAGGAAAGCCAGCCTTGTCTTTGTGAATTTGAGACGTTTGCTCAAACTGGTTGGTTTCTCTAAAATCTTAAATACAAAAGTCAGTATTGCAAACTGTGAGGTTCGAATATGGTGAATGTGCATATAGTTCCGCTAACACCGTCATAGCCGAGGTCTTAAAATGGAAGTGTAACACAAGTTACACTTCCTTCTTGCATTGGTTCAACGCGTTTGGAAAAAATGGCAGCGAGAACGTTGATGATAAACGGGAGCATATGGTAGCACTTGTGCTTAGGTTTCTTCGCATAAGTTCATGATGTGGCATCTTTGATGATAAAGTATCTTTGCAAAGAAGAAGAACTCTCTGCTTTGAACCATCCACATCTTTTTGTAGTTTATGTATGTAGCCCAAATCCTTGCCACCAACAAACCCACAGACCTAAGCAACCCGCAAAACTCTCTCTTGACATATCATGCCACGTGAGGATTAAAGATTGGGCAAATCGGCAAATAAAGGATACGAGTTTCTGCATTAACATTGCTACTTTCATTTTACTTTCTTTTCCTGAAAAGAAGAATATCCTCGAATTTCAAATCTTGGGAGTGTTTGAATCAATGTATGTATACATATTTTCGAATACTTTGGATTTGTTTCACATTGAGGGCTTTGCATATTTGAAAAATATTATCAGTTGATATGTGAAATTTGCTAGTAGCGTAACTGAACCTTAAAACTGGCAGTATTTTTTATTTATCCAAGGACAATGAGGATATTTTCATAATAAGAATGACCCTGCTATATATTTTGGTGTCATAAAAGATGAATTTTCCATAAAGATGTTAACTGACGCTGACTTTTGTGTGGTGTGACAGTTTGATTTCCTATACCTTAATACGTTCCCTGTCAAATTTTGATTTTCCTTGGTGGGCATTTTTGATCGATAGGCATGTCTTTTGGAGTATCCATGCTCTCATTCATTTTTAACCCCACTTTTTCGCCGTCTTCATTTGCCCTTCACAATCCAAGTTCTTCTTGGATCTCCTCCTCGTCGTCGTCGTCGTCTTGTTCCTTCGCTACTGGAACTACTTGCTGCTGCTTTCTATGTACTACTCATCAGCATTTTAGATCTTTTCTTCATTACTTCTTCTTCTCGACATCATCAGCCACACACAAGTTTCTCCTCTTGTGAGGGAACTTTGCTCAAGTTTAATGAGATTTTATGGCTTTGCGATTTTCAGTTGAATTAATCTTACCCGAACTGACACTTTTATCCAACGATATGAAGCGTACAAAAACAGGGTTGTTGCAACGCTGTTAGTTTTGTTTAATTAGTACTTGGTGAAGACGAACTTAAGCTAGGGGAGGCTTGCTTTTGACTTTTTTTTTTATCCATTCTTGGTTCATTACAACTTTCTATCTGAGGTACATGCATACATGAATACAGTGGATATTTGGAGACTTTAACAGTTGTGATTTTTTTTTCAAAATTCAATGAATGTTAATTTTACTCCATGTCAAATACATAAATCCAATTTAATCGTGGTTGGCTCAACCCACTAATAATATTCCAAAAATATTATTTTTGAGTGATGTAACGTGTATAATTTCTGATAAGGAATCAATCATGGCCCAGTTGTTGCTGGCGTAATAGGAGCACAAAAACCCCAGTAAGTCATAATCCTATTTAAAAAATAAGGAAAAAATTTATAAAAATAAGTTGTTGAGTACGTCTGAATTATTTGCAGGTACGACGTGTGGAGTGATACGGTAAGAGTAATATAGATATTTCTTGCACAAACCGACTATACATATTTACAATTAAAGCTACATGTTGCATCTTTAAGGTAAACGTCGCATCAAGACTTGAATCTCATGGGGCAGTTAATCGGATTCAGGTATGTTAGCATATTCTCCTCCTCGCAATGTGTAAGTTTGTCAGAAACTAAATGCAATGCAATGTAGGTAACTGAAAGCACTGCAAAATTGCTGATGGATGCTGGATACGAACTGGATTTTCGAGGTCCAACCTATGTCAAAGGAAAAGGAACTCTGAACTTGTATTATGTTCGTACTCCGTTCGACGGAACATCTGAAATTGGAGCATTAAAACGTTAAATACATATTGGAACTTTATGATCTCTCCTTTCTTTTGTCAGATTTGAAAACGCGAGTTTCTTTTTTGTAAATCCATCAGCTTATACATAGCTTTTGTCATGGCTGTCTAAAAAATAAGCACACATTGAAATTATTGAATATCAAGTATCCGAGCTTTTTTCATATTTTTTTTGGAAACTTTTGGTTCCCAGAATCCCCATCAATGTGCTCCTATTATAACTACACATTCACTGTATTGTAATATTTGACAATCAAAAATACCTGCTTCCTTTCATCGTAATTATTGTGCTTACAATACTATAAATCTAGTCTTCAAGCAATTTAGAATTTATTTGCTTTCATGTCAATTTTAAAATGTCAAGACGTTTTATGTCCATTCATGTCACACTCAAGTCTGTATCAAAGTTACCTATTATTGCATATTAAAATCATATCACTGTCGCAGTTGTATTGTTGTTGTGCTCGTGACCTGAGCTCCATTGTAGCAAATTGAACATAGAGTACCTTGAGATGTTTAAAAGATGAGGTGTATGAAATAATAATAAATATGTAGCATGATTCTCAATGTGATTGCGGTAAACGTGTGTAAATGACGCTTGCGTTTGTGTTTTGAAACAAATGAAAATAAAATATTTTATTTGAGACTTCCTCGTTGAACAATTTAATATTTTATGAGTTTATTCCCAACCACTGTGTAAGTAAATATGTATATTGACTCAAAGTTTGAATACATTTTAATCCAGTGAGGAAGGATGGGCTAATAAAATCAATCATCCATCCTCTCTCACAAGTAATTACAAACACATCTCAACCAGTCAGTCATCATTAAATGAGGTATTAACATAATACGCGTCGTTGAAGAGGTATGTAGTGGCACGAGGAAGGAAGGAAGGGACGGTGACGGGTGAACAAATAATGCAAAATTATTCATGAGTCCCAAACGAGGAATGTCGCCGCGTTGTTTGCATCAAGAAATCGATTATAGATTGGATTCTTCTCTCTCGCTCGAGTTTTCACACCCCGTCGTCGTCGTCGTCGTCCAAGTAGTCAACGTCTGGCCAGGATGAAGCTGCTGGCAACAAGCATCATCATCGGAAACAGCAAATCTCATGTTGGACTCAATGGCAGCTAACTTTATGTAGCAGCGTTTTTGGACACCTCACATCACAATTATGTAGCATTGGTCCCGACTGACACCAACATTTGAATGGCTGGATCCTCTTCTAATCGCAAACTCCTCTCTCCTTGATCTTCTCCTCTTCTGTCGGCTCAACTTCCGTTGCATTTTGCACAGCTCCATATTCTGGGAGAAGATGAGAGAGATATGCTAATACGTTTATGGTGACAGATCTATGCCGGAGAGGAGAGCAGAGAACATGGAAAGCAGATATCATTTTATCTCAGCTAACTCGTGTTGTAAATGATAATAAATATGAAATACGGCCCATGACAGCCTTTTCCACTACTTATTCCATAAATATTCCCCAAAACAGAGTATGTACGTACGTACATATGTACATGCATGGCATACGTCGGACGACGGTGGTGTGGTGCATGCAACAGCTTCCTGGTTTTCGTTTGAAATCCATTAAGAGGAAACGACCCAGAGGTATGTTTACACTCTTTACACTCTCACATGCCCACCACTACTGTTTCTGTATTATAAATGCACAACTACATACTTTGGCGAATTTCGGGCTTCGGGAGATGATTATTCACTGGGAAATTGGACATGAACAGCGCGATGCATTTCATTGGCGAGTGTTTGCTTGATCTTTGCTCTCATTCATTCCTCTTTTAGATAAATCTTCTCTTCTATTTGCTGCCTGCTACTGCCGTCGTCTTTCATTCCGAGTGGTGCAAAATGTGGTAAAATCAGCCTATGGGGAGATATATTGCTGAATCACTGAATTTTATTTCTGCAGCAGCTCGTTCTGATTTTTACGAGATGATGAGAAACGCTCATGATAAACGCTCGTAAAAGTGAAACATGGTATTTACTTTTACAAAGGTACAGTAGCATGATGTATTCGTGGCCAATTTGTTGTACTGCTGTGGGACAGCGTTTTATACATTTTTGGTTTAGAAAAAATTGACATGCCATGAACAAATTATTTAATAATGCTTATCAAAATAATTTCAAATCTATGTATGGGTGAACTTACTCGCAAAGAGCAAACCTACACGTTTAAATATTTGATACATACATAATTTGCCCAATTCATCCAGTTGTTATTCAATTAAGTTACTATAAATTTTCAAATATTGGAAAACGAATTGCACGACACTACTATTCATAGGTCTGCATATGACATATGTATGCAATGAATTATTAAAGTGAAAGCGTATCCACCGCCTCCTCCACCTTGTCAGTCCACCATGTACTTCTTTTTTTAAAGGTAGTTACATTAGTTTCATGTACAAAAATCGACCAAGAAACGAAAAGTTTTCCACATGCATGTCCATCGGTCTGTCCCCATGTCAATGTCCGAACTTCCGCTTGAATCGTCCGGACTGGCAGGCGAGAGTTGTACCATTTGACGAAGTAAGTTCCCATATGACAAATTCCATAAGCGTCACAGTCTCCCCAACCAGCACCACAATGTGACAGGGCGAGTGAAGAAACGAGATGTCTGAAAACCGGTCGTACGAATAAAACCGGAAGAATAAATAAATAAGTTGCTTGTTGATTTTTTTGGCTGGAAAAATGGAAAATGCAAGCCAAGACCAGGACCAGACGGAGCGCAGAATAACCAATGTATTAACTTATAACCTACTCCGTCTTCTCTCATGGATCATAACTCATCCAGAAATTTCATCACATTTGGGCGCGTATACAGAAGTCGCAAGTTATTATTAGAGAGGAAATAGCAAACGGGTAACCACACACTCCGCTCGAACCAATCTCACTCACAAGGATTTTCAGATCTTTATTTGAAGGAACTTTTTCCATGTACCACCTCATCGACAAGGAGGAGGAATTGGATAGATCTCTCTCTCTCCCTGCCATCAAAAGCAAGAGCAGGCAACTCACGTCTCTTGTGAAAACATGCCGACGACCTCTCTCAGTTTCTCGGTTATTTCTAACAACATGCCTTTGGCCCTCAAACTCTCACTCACTCCCTCCACATACACAAAATACCACAAAAACGGATACTATCCATCTCAACTAAAGGATTAGTGCTCCGATTTAATCTGAGTTGGATAGCAAGAGGGGAAGAAGAAAGAGATCGGATTGGAATATTGACTGCTCACCCCAACAAAATCTCCAACGCGATGACCCCGACTCCTATAATGCCATAAGAAGCCACTAATTCTAATGGCATGGCCTCACCATCACCTCCTATGCACTATATGCATAGACGCATATACAGATGCACAAAACCGCAAATTCGGCAATACAATCAACGCCTTTGATTTCTCACACGAACGCCATTGAACAGACCTCTTTTCTTCCCAAATCCACATTTTGGTAGCTTAAAAAATATAGAAAATAGAAAAAAACCAAAGTAAGGATAGATTTGACAAATGTATTCATATGGTGTTTGAATTTGGCATGAATTTATGCAACTGTGGGTAACCAAATTCAAATGTTGGACACTTTTACGCAACCCCAAAACAGCGTAGATCAAAAGACATGCATGCAACAAAATACATATACGTACATGCACCTCAATAATATATGACATGCTTAAGAGCCACTGAATATTAAATAGCTCGAAAATATATTTTATGTAGTTTCCAGGAAAGTTATAAAGAGATTACATGAGTTGTTAGCAACAGCACCTCTGTAATTTAACGTGTTTCATTTCCTATTACGTGAAGAGCGAGAAAAACAAATTTCGGCTTGCTGCAAAACCAACTCTCTTACTAAACTTGAATGTACAGTATGTAACAAATTTAATGCTACGATGACATAATTTTTATATCGACATGATCGCGTAAATTTTAAAATTTGAAACTTCGCATAAAAATCTAAAAAGTATATACGGACAATTTCCTCGTCGCCGATTTTTAATATCGCACAAAGGTCAAAGGTCACCATTATTTTTGTGAACAAATTTGAGGCGTCGAAAAAAAAACTTCGTGGATAATTTTTTTTGAACTTTCTAGTATTTTTTATTGGATGCGACATGCGTTTTGAAGAAAAATGAGCTTTGGTCGGACCGTGTACGATTTTTTTGACGCCCACAGGAATTTTTCGCCAAGGACAGGTTGAAGACCTAAAATCGCCACCGCGGGGAAAATTCGAAAACTGAAATATACGTTTGCATACCGGGACTGTCAATATGCTAACGTATATTTCAGTTTTCGAATTTTCCCCGCGGTGGCGATTTTAGGTCTTCAACCTGTCCTTGGCGAAAAATTCCTGTGGGCGTCAAAAAAATCGTACACGGTCCGACCAAAGCTCATTTTTCTTCAAAACGCATGTCGCATCCAATAAAAAATACTAGAAAGTTCAAAAAAAATTATCCACGAAGTTTTTTTTTCGACGCCTCAAATTTGTTCACAAAAATAATGGTGACCTTTGACCTTTGTGCGATATTAAAAATCGGCGACGAGGAAATTGTCCGTATATACTTTTTAGATTTTTATGCGAAGTTTCAAATTTTAAAATTTACGCGATCATGTCGATATAAAAATTATGTCATCGTAGCATTAAATTTGTTACATACTGTATGGCGACGTGTTGCTCAACTTTGGTTGTCAAATTTGGGCACAAGTTATCCTGCGTGCATACATATGTCTGTCGGAGATTAAAGCAACAAGATTTTAGTGAAAGTTGTCTAGCGTTGGATCAATTTTCAACTTATTTTTCAAACTCTTGCAAAAACTTTGAGGCAAATACACGGAAGCTCGTTTCTAGACTCGACTAATGACTAATTTTTCAAATGCTTAATTCTTTCCTTGTTGAAATTGCGTATTTTGTGAAACTTGTAAAGCAGACTAAAATATTATGATATCCTCTGACAAATTATCTCATTTCGCATTTGGAAGAAGAAAAGCCCTCATTACTTATTTTTGATGATCCTTCCGTAAAATAACAATGGTTTATTGTCTGTCAACAGGGCATGATGATATAAGTGAGATGTGACTTGTGAGAAACACAATCCACAGAGAAGGAAGGAGGACAGATACAATTACGCATTTTTTCCCATTCTCTGCCATTATGCTTACTTATAAATCCACGAAGCAGCAGAACGTTGCCGACTGATGTCGACTTGTTGTGATTTAGTCGTAGCAACTCTTTATTTTATTTCTGCTTCCAATACATCGCTCGTATAGACACGTCTATCTGAAGCGTAATAACACGCTGTCGTCCTTTTAAAAACATTGGACAAATGGTTCTGGCTGCTTGTACTCCGTGTATCCAGAGTTTGTAACCAGACAGCAGTAGTTCTTTCGTATATGGTTCGCAATATTCTTGTTGGCGTCATTTCCTAGCTAGTCAAGTGGCCGAACTGTCTGTTTGACATTTTATAAGAATAAGTCTCTTTTCCCTTTGTTTGTAAAGAGTGTCTTTCTGTCTCCGCTTGGAAAGGCTTCATAACAGAAGCTTTCACTCAGAGTGACAGCTTTTCTCGTCATACAGATATTTTCCCGAGCCAGGTCTTTGGCGAATAATAAGATGAGCGAGGGAGAGAGAAGAGCTGAAAATACAACATTGTAGCAAGTATATTTCACTTAAAACTGCTTTTGGAACTCAAGCTAGAGCTTAACTCTCTGCAATACACCTCCGTGTCCGATGGCATAGATGCAACTCAATAAGAGTCCGTTCCTATCAAAGAAAGTGAAGAGCTTTTATGTCGATGCGAAACGAAAAGGAAAATTGAGTACAATAAATTACTCAACCTTAATTTAATGCTTCTTGATTAACTTTCATGTCGGCCCAGTAGACCATTCCATTCAACCAATGCTGTATAAGTCTCAATCCATTCCACTCTGTTGGGAATGGAATGATTCATTTGTTGATATTCCTTCATACACCTTACTCCTCGCCTCCAATCAAATGAACGCTGCTCGTTTCCAGATATAATTGCGGTTATAACCAACCAACCTGGCTGCTAATATTAAGCTACTTATGACCAATTATCCTGATGCGTACACTTTGTCGAACTTGCCTCCCCAAATGATTGTATTCGTCATACATAGACATATGAATGTATGCACGTGTAGTTTATTCCAGTTTTATCGTTATTGATTGCATCGAAATAGCGGGAGGGATATTAATAGTACTGAGGACCAAATGTTCATTAGTGATGAACTGTAGGCCTAAACCTGAGGTTGAAATCTGGTGGTGGGAGTAGAGTTCTTGAAGTCTTTTGAATTTGCTCTGGTGACGTTAAGTATGTAATGTGCGCACGTATGTATGTGTAATAGCATCACCAGCGGATTGAATTCATGAAATCTTGGAAGAACCTATGCGGATATTCAATGGTGAAAGTTGTATGGATTTCAAAAGGAAATTGTGAGATTACTGCGATGCGGAACTGCTACATATGTAGGTGTCGACATATTTAATTAGGAATACTATTTCGATATGTAATGTAATCCATCATGGCCAGTGCAAATGTAATTCGGCTGTGGTTGCATTTTGAGGAGAAGGATGGAAGCCTTGGAAATTGCGTTGATTTGAAAACTGATTCAAGCACAATTCAAACTTTCCATCCAGTCGAATTTATCAGCATAAAACAGTGGTCGGTCGAGGAGTTTGGCTCGGTGGTTGCAGTTTAGGACCAGTGTGTTGACAAGGTATAGATTTTACATGTCTGCAACTATGGACCGCAAACCTCTGCCACCTCCAAACTCATTTTCCTTTCACATTTGAGCGACTTGTGGGTTTTCTTGTCCACGCCAGGCAGGCCCCAACCAACACCTGCCTGTTCCATCCAACAACTGGCGTGTACAAAATTCCAAAGGAAGAGGAGAAACAAACCAATATGAGACGAAACTTTGAATCATTTTGAGATGAATTGACTGACTTCCCAGATTTACAGATGTGTATGCGACTAAAATCTGACCAAAAATTACATATTATTATTATATGCATGCACGCACGTACGTAATGCAAATGACAACCCAGAAGTATACACATGGCGCAATGTATTTAATATGTCTTGCTTATGTATTGCGGTCATACCTCGCGTTTAAAATATATTACACGTCCATCAAAACAATGAAATTTCTGACACTATTTTTCGTAGATTGTGGTGACAAGAGAACAATTGGCTTTGCAAAGTAAGATACTGTCAATATCGAAATTGATTTCTACCAAACACATTTTTTTCCCTTGAAGGATCATTCGTCATTCCTTCGAAGTGTGTATGGACGAAGAGAGGGCGAGCTTATTGCCACATCTGTATATTTCTGGTGGGGATTTCAGTGTCAAAATTTCAATGATTTAAGATGGTTAAGAAAAACAATAATAACGTCCTCTTTGTTACAGTGCTTGATTTATTGGGTGCTGGGCTACACGCGTACATACCAACCAACCGTCACTTTAATGTAAAGCTATAGGAGGAAAGAAAGAAAATGACTTTTTCTGCATTATGTATTTCATTTTAAATTAATTTGGGAAAAGTTTGTTGCAATTAAAGTGCTTACTCATCCAGCAGGAGAAGGAATTTGAGGAAGGCGTAAGAAAGTAAGTGCTCAGCAGTGGTACGGATGGTGGTGAGAATAAAAGGCAATTATGACAGCAAGCAAGCAACCAACTTGAGATACAAAAACCAAACAAAGGAGTTTGTTATATTGGACAAATTGAGGTGAAAGTCCAGAATTGTGTTGGGCATGGAGTGAGTGAGTGCACGTGGAAGCAGTCAAAAAATGCGAGAGAGAAAGTATTAGAGCAGGAAGGTAAATAGAAAGAAACTAACGAGTTCCATGTCTGTGGCTTATGTGGATTTCCATGTGGCTGGTGGAATGTGATTGGGACGGGAAAGAGCGGCTCTCCAAAACGAAAATATGTAGAGGGGAAGGTTCTAATGGTAGAAAATAAAAGAACATTTCACCTCCGACCACCATATCAGCATATGGCATACGACTGCAGATACACATGTACAAGAACATAACAAGCCACGTCAAGGCATAAGAATCTATTTCTCAAACAACCACTTCCACCACCAGCTCCTTGCAAACGGAACAATATGAAATGGCGACTGCTTGGAATTGGCAACATCTTCTCTTGAGTTGAGCCGAAACTGTTAAAGACTGTTGTAAGTCAAGCCGAATTGTGTGGTTGTGGAAAGATGGAAGCCTTTTTCTCAACTAACTGACAGGTGAAGGTGGTGAGAGGTCGTTTTCTTCTTTTAATTTGGGTACTGCTTTCAGTTCTAAGTAGCGATATGATCTATTTGAGTGTACACTAGTTACCAAGTGTATTTATTATTGTACATATGCATATTTGCTATCAAATATTTCATATGAGACGCCTACATAATTTTTTATCCATAAATTCTATAAAAATCTCTTCCTTCGTGCTAGATACTTGTCGTTATAAATACGTATGGAATCGTCCGTCCAACATGATTATGTACATTTTTTGAACTGGAAGCAAGTCCTTGTGACTTGTCAACCGTTCACCGTAGTGGCTTAAACACCCTTCAACTATGTATTCAGTCTGGCAAACAAGAGCGTTGTAAGGATAAAAGGAACATGAACTGAACTGGAGGAAGTTGGTTGCTTGGTATAGAGTACAAATTTCCATCATTTTATTTTCTGCAACCCTATACACACGGACGGGGTAGTAAACTTGGCTGATCCAAACATACGCAGCTTTGCGCTTTCCCAAAGCCTTCACAATGAGCGGATTGAGTGAGGGACGACTGGGCGATGTTGGTTGGTGGGCCGCGTCAAGTGTATATTGGATGGGGAGCACCAGGCAGAGAAAGCAGCAGAGCCTCCTGAAAGTTGAGAGAGATTCCTTTCAACTCTTGCATGTCTAGCAAGATTTGCCTTTTAAGTCAACCAGCCCAGGTCCAAAGTAAAGTTGTTGCTTCATCTTTCCGTGGTAGTTGCATCACACGGACGGATGCTTGCTTTGCTTCCCTATGACCAAACTCCTACTCCGGCCGGAGCTACCTCGCTCGCTCAGCGGTTTCACAAATATCGATGGCTTTCTTCAACCAAATTCTCAGAATTCTTCAAAGAAACTTTCCATCTTGAAATCTAACTTTCATATTAAACTCAAAAATCAAAAACATTCTGAATTCGAGCTCTATTCACTACGGGACTTAAGATACTTTGCAAAAACTCTTGGACAAAGAAAAATAGTAAAGAGTTGTAATGAAAAGATTGCAACTACCAATCAAAATTCAACATTCATAAAACATTATATATTGTTACCATATTTCCGGTATAGCCTCCATATCACGTCCAGATGTAATTCAAACGGTTGAATTGATATTTACTTAAGCTGACTTTTTCCTACTACTGCCTCTTATCACTTTTAAGGCAGCAAGTTAAAAAAAGACAGCCGGAAAAACCAGTGGTTTAATGACGTTAAGATGATTCAGAGATGGCCCAAGAAATTGTCTTTAACTTCCAAAAAATCTGCAATCTTCACCTGGAACAAAAAGTATCATGTCGTTTAAGTTGTTCCATGCCATGCCAGAGATTTTTTTTAAATAATGGGGTGTGATTGAGATGCCTCCACTCGGTGCACCCTGGGACTTTCACCACGTCGGTGAAAGTACAAAACGGCTCCTGTCTAGTATGACGAAACAAGGATGCAATTCTTCACAGAAACCATCTATTACTGGTCTCATTAGCCAGGAACAATGGACTACGGGACTTTCCCAAGCTATGATTTTATGCTGTGGCCAAAATCTCCCAGAATGGACACCGAGGAGTGCACGGGAATGTATGTACATGTACATGTACATGTACTTCAGTCTCGCTTATTTTTCTTTTAGCAAAATATGTAAAAATATTATTTAATAATTTTTTTAAAATATAGGGACCAATCCGAGCATATTGTTATCCGTCCGTTGGGAGCCTGAAAAGGAAAAACCCTTGGAAGTGAGTAGGTAAATCATGTCTGCGAATAAAAGAAACTGCTCCAAGGGGCTTTCTAAGCCAATAAAAATAAAAGAAATGAAAGTAGTGAATGAAATTCTAAGAATTATTTTTATAAATTGGCAGGAATTGAAGTAGATCAATTTTGGACAATTGCAACTTATACAACAGACTAATTGTAACGTAATGTGTTTTGCATGAGGTATCGACCAAATGATTGGCCTAACCAGCAGCAACAAGTACAACGACTAGCCACACTGCATGCATAATGCCACTCGGTGCACCTTGGGGCTTTCGCCACGTCGGTGAAAGTGCAAAACGGCTCAACCCAGGGTGGGAGGGGAGGAGCTACCCCCATTCTTAAATAGGGCTCCACAAACTCCATCGACCTTCCCAGGCTGGGTTTAGGTCAAACGAAAGATCTTACTATTAGTCACTTCCAGAGGAAAAAATAGATAGGGCAACATTATAAATTCATGGTGAAAGTCGTCGTCAAGCCATAAAAGCGTATTTGGGGTGAAGTGGGAATGAAGGGAGTTCGTTGTTTTCTTAGTATTCCAGTTGTTACCATTTGTCCTTCCTCTTCGTCACAATCGGTTGAAACTCCATATTCTTGATGTCGTCAAATCACATTCTTAATCGAATTCCTAACGGAAGAATGGGCAGGGTACATATAGAGTTGCTGGCAGGAATCCGATTTCACTCGTCTCCGTTGTGACCTGTTGATTATAAACTTTATTTATTCAGAGTGTTCAACTACATACTTCTCCGATTTACTCTGATAGGAGAGAGTTTGACAAATATTTCCCCTGTCGTGTTGAAAATGTCTAGTACAACAAAAGCCATTAAAGTTATAAATAAATCAATACCGTTCAGCAACTAAAATCAATTTGGGGAATAGCAGTTATAAGAAATTGATTTTGTGTGCGCAGGGTAGTTTGCATTATTTTTTCGATGAGACAGATGTGACCAGCAATTGTTTTCGAGACCAATTAAGCACAAGCGACCATCAGGTGGTCAAATGGGAGCAATATTAAAAAGCCAAAGAAAAGGATGGATGCTTTGAAGAAAGGGGAGTGGATGGCATGCAAAGGAGTAATTAACACCAAAGCACATTCCTTCCTAATTCCGTCTTAATGCTCCCTCACCAGTCTCACTCTAATAGCTGCAGGAGAAAGCCACAGACTGTCATTAAGATCCAGAAGAAGGAACCTCAACAAACTAATTTAACAAATATTTTACGCATTATCTTGTCCCGTTTGATCATCAGAGGCAACAATCCCAACAGAGCTTTCTCCTTTCTTCTTCCTTTGCAGAGATGGCCACATCCACTTTTCCCTAGTGGAAGTGAAATCCAAGCCCAGTAAGTATGTCCACGTGTTCTGGGCTCACTTCATAAAGAGGAGAGAAAAGACAGTCAGTGAAAGTGGATGGTTTCTTGACAGAAGAGAGACACAGATATATTGCGACGACGTATCTGGACTCGGGAAGCAATTTTCCATTCAGCCAAACTATCAGTCTTCAGCCGAGAAGACAAACAGGATAATAATATTCACAGGGGGATTCTTCTCCCATGTAAGCAGGCAGGATGAGATGCAAGCAATGAGGAAGGCACCCCGCAAATAAAAAGTTGCCGACTGACTAAAGCAGCTTCTCCAGAGGAATCAACTGTGCTTGTACTGTGTAGTAGCAGACATGAGAAAAACTTGAGAAATTTGTGATTGTGGTGGACAAGCAAACTTAACGAACCTTTCAAATCATGGGAGATAGGAGAGCTTTTTGTATATTGGAAAACATTTTCCAGTAAATTTCCACAATGCGGTGTATGCATGAATGTATGTACATGTGTGTGTCGTCCATAATGACAAACTTTATTTAAGTGCGTTGGTACTCATCATAAAAACACCCACAAAGCCTTACAAGTTTGAGTCCATATCTTAAAATATCCTATACAAGTAATAATGGCCGAGATGAAAATTTATGTAGCGGAGAAAGCGATCAATCTCAAAAAGTTTTCTGAACGATGTTGTCATGCTTATCTTAAATTCATACCTTCTCGATATTGCTGCTCAATAGTTATTAAAAGTTGTGTACAGTTGATGGTGTACAGTAGCGGTGATGATATGCACTTATACATAAATATGTAGCACAATACTACTTGTGCAATCTCTTATTTCTCCAATAATCAATGGCACTGTTCCATATTATACATACATATTTGTATATGTACGTGTTCGACATGCGTCGCCCTTCCGCATTAACTAATGCGGAACTTTACAAGTGGAAATGAGGAGTTGGATAATTAAGTTTAATGAATTTATGTTAAACTCATAGATTATTATTTTCAAGTTATTACAATGCTTTGTAAAAATAACATTACCTCCACATCGACAACTTGCTCTTAGAAAAGCGAGTGGGTACCATCTTGCTTTTCCTGAACCGTAAGATAAAGGGCCTCAGTCGGTGAAAATAACAAACGGCCCCCGCGGTAAATAATTCATATTTTATTTTGAAGGAAAATGTAGCAAGCACTCAAGGAATTCATCGACAGAGTGAACTTGCCGAACTGAAGGAATTCTCACGCGTCAACCAAACACTAGTTATTTCTCACTTTAATCCTCCCGTCTCAACTTGGAGGCTACTACAATCTAGCAAAGTGCCGTCGCCTGGGTTCACAATGAATGAAGAAATAAACTCACTTGGCACCAATTCCATCTCTTCACAAAGGAGCTCACTTCACACTCGAGAGAGGAATTCAGGTAAGCAGGCAGCCAACCCCGCAACTGTAATAACTCCCTCGACTCCTTCTGGTAAAAATATTTTCTCTCCTTGTCTCCTCCTTGCACGCCAACGAACTAACTAACAAAACCAACCAACAGCCAAGTGCCAGCTTGGGAGAAAGTTGGACCGCACAAAGACAAGCACTAAGGTGAGAAGAGAAGGAAAGCGTCTGCTGGAATTTCAGAATTCATCAATTATTGATGATGTGAAGGTAAAAAGGAATAATTCTCAACTTCTTTAGCTCGCCTCACTAAACCTGGCTCGTTATTTTCCCATCAATATTTCTCTATCGAATCGAATGTCTGACTCCAGCACGATTTATCGCCCGCAACTCTGTACCAAGGTTTCCATTCCGTTGTACCAGTAACCAAAACAAACTGAAGCGTACGGCAGCTTTCACTCAGCAAAAAACACACGCGGTACACTCTTCAAGTTACAGAAACTTCTCTTTTTGTTTTGGTTTGAAAGTCAAAAATTTACAGACTCATTCTGTAGGAACGAAAATAGTTTTGTTGAGACTTGATATTATTACTTGTATCTAAAAATACGTACTCAAGTATGTCTCTTGTTGAATAGTAAAACAAGTCTATATAATAATTAATTAGGCGCCATCATTTGTGATAATTGATAGCACATTTATAACAGATTTTAACTTTAGTTCAGCCAGCCACTACTTTCACCTGCTGTCCGCCATTACCCGACTGAATAAAAAATATCGCCGCTGACTATTCCACCCTTTCAACAATCAATCATCATTATTCACAAAGTATGTCCTGTCTTGGGTAACACTCCACTCGGACACTTTTCCACCCAGCCATCCATTTTTCCAGGTACAATAATTTGTTTTACAAAAGTGGTTACATAGAGTAAACTTCTGAACAAGCAAAGTAAACAAAATACTTTCATTTACCTTATTAAATACCATTAACGTATGAAAGCGTAAAAATAGCTTGAAATCTTGGGAGTAAAATAGTGGCTGAAAATGAGCTTCCCTTCAATGCTGCTGCTCACGTTAGTCAACCGCATTGGGCAAACAGATTACTTGGAATAGACTGGGTTCGAATGCTAGGAAACTGGATCCTCGTGGTTAAGAAAAGTGCCAATAAATTAAGTTTTATCGTATCCAATAAGTAGTCCATTTTTCTCATGTCCATCCACACATTCCACACACGTTTCTTATTCCGCCCGACCACGGCGTCAGGCTGTTGCCATTATTCGTCGAGGTGGAATGAAATACTCGAGTGGCAAATAGCTAACAAGTTGGTGCTGAGTTTCTGTACATTACGGTGAATATTTAATAGGACTCTTGAGAAAATTTGGCCACCTGTTCGGTTATTTTCCTTTTGAAGGTAAAAACAAGCCCAACCTAACCAAGCTTGATGAACGGACCGGAAAAGTAATTCATTCTTTTTTTGCCATACATAGTCGCAACTCTATGGGAAGAGTAACTTATAATTTCACAGAGATTATTATTTTGAGAAGCATTGTAAATGCTGAGCCCTGTTAATAAAACTTTTAATTGGAAGTGAGACTAAAGAGGAGGGAGTTGGGCTAGAGTTCGCATTGCTCATGGTTCACCCTCTCCCCATTGTTATAGTTTTCCCATTATTTTTCTTTCGAAAGATGGCTTCGGCTTCTTCTCTTTCTCTCTCTCTCAACTAAATACGAATCAATTCCTCGTTCCTTGTCACGACACGAACATTTTCAAAACACGAATCCTTATGCAGACAAAAACTCTTTCCAAAAGCGCCTCGCCGGCAAAGTTTTTGAGCAAACCAAGTTGTGCAAAGATACAGAACAGGGCGCAGACAGCAGTCTTTTATCATTACTTTCACCCACCCTTCTGCATACATGCATAGCGAGATAGCTTCTGTGTGTGTATATGCACGTCCTCTTAAACCTGGTCGTCTCTAGTTAATAATTTGTATAATGTGACACACCACAATGAGACAGCAAGTAAGACGCAAACAGCACTCGTTCCATCCACTCAATAAAACCTGGAGGAGGAATATTGCCCGTGAAGAGAGAGAGAGAGAGTGCCACGCCACATACACGGTCCGCACACACCGTGACGACTTTCCTCCTTTTGGAAATGTGATGATGGTGGTCTTATTTCATCCTCACTTACTGACGCTCCACTCTTTCTCTTATTACTCAAATAAAAGTGTCGTCCTCCTGAGCACGGGGCTCGTCTCTCCATAAAATTTCCAAATTAATTTCCTCTTTCCAACAAACTTTCTCCACAATTAAAATCGGGTCTTTCCTCTGCTCAGGTTAGATTCTATAAATATGATGATCTTTGGGGTTTTTGGAGAGTGCACAAAAGTTGGTGAAATGATAATCAGTTGTCAAAAGCTGTAACATTATTACTGCGGATGACTAAGCAGGGCTGAATTGTGCTTTTGAGGGAGATAATTGGTAAATATGAGGAGTGGAAGACTCCGCAGTAAAGGCCCTGAGCACATGTAGCATTCTGAGGATGGATGGACATTTAGTAAATTGATGAGAGTAGAAGTAAGTCCCAATTTGGGTGCTGCTATGTATATCCGGAATTCCGAGTGGAGGCGGAGGGAAAGCAGGGGAAGAATGGAGCGTCAGTCATCCGCTCTAATAACAATAAGTGAGAGGGTAACGAAATTATACCATTACGGATAAAGCATTAGTTATCGTGTTGGCTGGAGGTGCATCATTTTCGCTAATATCTTTACAAGACTTGTCGTAGGATTAGGCCGACTTTCCCCGGGTGCTCTGCTCACTCAACGACACATTAATATGTTCAAGTGATTATAAGCAGCGCTATGAAATGAGCAATAAAGTTTTCACTTTTCCCTTATTACAGATATTCCTCAGAATTATAAATCTCTCCCAAAGGAGCCCAAACTTGATACCTATGCAGCCGCTAAAATCTGGCAACACAAGTACTATTTTCAAACTTGTCCGTGATGTGATGTGGCAAATGTGCAAAGACACAAACTTGTCCATATCGCCACACCACCGCTACACGGAATTACTCTAGAGAGCACTCCATCCAATCTACCCGTAGAACTTGGCAATTCCGAAATGATTACAGGTTTGTGCAGAAACAATTTCAATGTCAGTTGGAGCTTCACTCTCTAAATTGCCTCATTTGTCTCAATCTCACAATAACCGAATGCTCAGTATAGCCACCAACCAACGACACCAGCAATGTAATGAAGACGAACTGAGGAAGAAATAAGTGCACGGGCGTTTCGTGTCGTGTCATGTCGTCGTCGTCGTGCAAACACTTTCTTCCACACCATCAATGGAAAATCATCCTTTCCTCCAACCTACCCCCCGTTGATGCAAATGTTTATGGCAGGCGTGGGCTCGCCTCCTTCCTTAAAAACCAAATATACATGTCACTCACCCCTCCTCACTACGAGAAAGAACGCAATTTGATAAGACAACCGACAGCGACGACTTGTTACTGAATTTAGTGAATTTGTTCCTTGCTCCACAACTGCCACTTGCCATCTGACTCTGTCAACCATTAAACAAAGGAACGCAATAATAATCTGGGGCAATCTTATAAAATCTTGTCTCGCTTTTCACATGGAAATTATTTTCACTTTTGATTTTGAACTGCAGCTCCTTTGTACATACAGATCAAGTCATGGTGAGTGAGTGAGTGAAGGATTGAGGAGTGAGTGAGTGAGAGGGAAGGAAGGAAACAATGAGGGAGGGACCAGGAACATGTTGGATTAAGTTGGATACCGTGCAAAAAGTGCGACGACGACGATGCTGAGCAACATGAAAGGTGTAGCTCGCGGGTAAAAACATTACCCTTGTAAAAGTTTGAAATTTCTCCAATCGTTTGCATCCCATTTTCTACTCAACTACTTTTACCAAGCACACGCCAAGTCATCTACCTGCACATTTAATGGACGGGTGATGTGTGTAGAGCGTAAATAGATCAAGTACTTGAGTGCTGAGGACGTGTAATATTTCAGTCGCTCTAGGCCATCTTATTATATACTTCTTTGTTCCAATCTCTTCAAAAGCTGAACTTCAAAGTTGGACTACAAATGAAACAACTCAAAGCGTGAGGAGTCAAATATGAAAGCAAACGGTAAAACTCAAGTCACGGCAAAACTAGTAGTCATCGCATATCTGTCCTTCTTCAAGAGCTTGAAAACTTTCTGTGAAATTTGCTACTTTTTCCAACTTTATTGCTCTGACTCCTTTTCTGGAATCACTTTGTAATGGAAATTAGTCTAACTATAAATTACCATTCTTTGATTTAGATTTCACTGAGAATTATCGCAACTTCACTGAAATTTACACATATTACTGACATATTTATTTCAAGTTACGCGTCACATTTGCTAGAAAGACAACAACCAAGACATGCATATGTACGGTGGTTTAATTCATTATTAGCTCTGGGAGGGAGTCAATGATTTCATACAAGACACAGAAAGCATAATGATTTGCGAGGCAACGTGAAATATGGAAGAATGCGCCCTTATGTTTTATTTTCTCTCTAAAATACATTCATAACAGTCTCAAATTCAGCATTCAGCAAGTTCTTTTAAGCAGAAGAAACTCTAACCTTCTGCTTCATTTGACGAAAACCTTACCAAATGAAGTTCATCTCCCAGATCTGATTCCCCAAAAGCCTTGCTAAAAGTCTTACTTTACTCCACATGAAACATTAACGAGAGACTCTGCAAAAGGTTAAGATTCGGTTCACCGTGTTCTGTTCTGCCAATTCATGATTTTGTCGTCTACCCCTCTTTCCTTCCAGCTGAATATGTGCATACATTTTTTTTCCTGCTTATTTTTTGTCCAACCTGGCCACCACTACGAGGCGACTACGGCACGGAGACCGAAAATATATGCAACCAGTCTCATTTAAGTATGCCGGAGACTTTCAACCACAACGACTGCTATTTACTACTACTCATACTATTACTTTGATCAAACGTGAATTCCGGTATTGTATGTCATGAACGAAGAAAACTAAGGTTTTTGGAGTGAAAAACTTACCTCCATCACTGTCGCCGTCCCCTCCCAGTGTCGGACGACGACGACCACCACCACGCAGCCACCACCAAAGTCTGAACCCAATCGGCCGAGTTTGGTGAGATAAGGGAATAGAGATAAGTGAATTACTCTGGAAAAAGAGCAAGAGAAAGAGAGTACTTACTTTCAGGAGAGAGAGAGAGAGAGAGAGAGAGAAAGTAAGAAAGGAAATCTTAACCAACAAGTACGTATGTACGTACGTATAGGAGCAAATAAGTTTGTAAGGCAAGCAAGAATGGAAACGTACCTTCACAATAATGAAACCTGGATTGCTATCTCGTGCAGGGAAATGTCTGAATTTCTTCTTGCGTAGAGAAAGTGGAGTCGGATGTCACTCATTCGCCATTTGTTGAGGAGTTTGGGGCGACTGAATTAAATGACTTCTCGCAAGAAGAAGTATCAGTTTGGTGCTTGATGCTTTAGGCAGAAGGCCCGCCCGCCGACCATGGTGACAATTGACAACTGTTAGTTAGTTGCTAAACTTGGTTGTGCACTAACTATTAATCTAATCTGGAGATCTTTATGGGGACTTGTGCTTTTCCCTTTCTACTTTCTCTTCTCTTCTGTGGTGTCGCTTTCCCCAGACTGATGGAGTCGAGTAGTAGAGGAGACATACCTTCCTGGACCGACCGCAGCTGAACTTGTCACTCTAAGTTGTCCATTACAGATTAACTGTTCCTTCTCCATCACCAACAAAGGAGGAAGAAGACGAGGGCTCTCCATTTGAGATTGAATTTTTCTCTTGTGAGAGATCACAAGTCCTCCACGAACCTGATTTTACTTGGTTCTCGGACGCATCGAATATTTGGTGGGTGAAAGAGCATGAAATGATGGAGTAGAACGCTGGACTGTTTGTATGAAATCCCTTTCGCTCCCTGCTCTTGTTTCCTTTTTACCCGTCTCGCCTGAGAGAGACAAAGTTTGGGACTAACCAGAATTTGGAAATGCAAAAGTAATACAATATCCGTATTACAGAAGCAGAAGAGAGAACGCGAGAGAGGATGAGAGGGTGCTTGTTTGGTGTTGTGAAACAAGAAGAGCTGGGAGCGGAATATTATTCCGCGTCCATCGTATCACCGTCCTGATTCCTGTTTGCACATCTCGACGGCAAACTTGATATCCGTCGTCCATCCGCATCAGTTCGTGCGAGTTTTGTTGCAACTGAGTGGCTGCGTGTCTATGCTGCTCGGATGAAGAAGACTCTGAAATAATTTCCAGCATTTAATTGATGCTGTAGATTTCTGTGTGGTAAATAACTGGGCAAATAACTCGACGTATTCACAAGGAAAGAAAAAGAAAAGCAAGCAGGAAGTAAAAGTCCCGTCTGTTTAGTTTTGCGGTTTTTGTATACTTACTTGTCGTGGGTGCAGAGATCCAGTGAACCACCAGGAATGACGAACGTGCTTTGCCCAGCTTTGCACGTTATTCTCTTGGTGTGATGGGATCAAGTGGTGAAATTGGCGATGATGATGGTGGGTATGTGAGACGGAGAGGAGCAGCAAAGTCTGTGTGGGTGAGCTTGAGAGTCTGAAGTTGAAATCCACATGAACACAAAGCCAGCCAGCGAGCAAAGAGAGCGAGAACACGGGACAGGAACGACGACGAGCCAACCAAGAGGACGACAGAGATATCTACGGACACAAACGCATGCGTTTATCGTTTTATTGAAATTGCTTATCTACCTTCCACTTTCTACAACCTCTTTCCGTACTTTTCAGCTTATTCTGCAAACCCCAGCTCCTGAACACACTTGGATTTCATCTCTTCCTCATTTTACGATCCAAAAATGGCAAAACTTTTTTTAGCATCTCCGTTCCATGGACTTCTGACTAAGAGCATGGATGTATTGCTTCAGTTAGTTTGAGATACTTCAAACTTATGGTTGTACGATTTGTAGATCTTGTCCCCGTGACCAAAGAACGAGAGGTCCATTCCGTCCAAAGGGATGGCAAAATAGCTCGTCAACTTTTCAGCGTGGAATGAATCACAACGTGGCAGACGACTTATCCCGTGTGTCGTGGAGATGATGTGCGTTGGTGGTGGTACGTGGTGTCGGAGCAATTGCCCCATTTTAGAGATTTGATGTATGATGCCAGATTCCAAGGATTCTTAAGAACTTGGTTTTATGTGTACATGTTTATTATGTGTATCCGTATGTATGTACATCTGTACATATACCTCGCATTCTTGTGTGTACCTTGTTGACAAACCATAGGAGACACGGAATTAAATGAACCAGCGTTAAACCCAAGTTTATGTGCAGCCTGTTTGCAGGGAATTGAGACTTTATTCAATTTACAGGTGGTACAAGCCACAAACTGACGTCTTGCTCACTTTCTTAACTAAACAAGTCCCGGGAGTTTTATACGACCGACCCATTCTTTCCGACAACTTGTATTCAATCTCGTAAAGATATTTTTATTTTTTGTTCCCCACCCTCCACGCTCTTCTCATTTTATATCCACTTTGCTTACATTATAAGAAATCATATCCGGTTCAGTCAGGCACACTTAGCAACATTCTACTTATTTCACTTTCATGCGTTAAATTGTGCAAGCGGATTTTAATAAGAAATCCCATGCTTTGGCTGCTTCCTTCCTTTGACAAGATGAACTTGAATGCCAAATTCAACGTCGGAGCATTTTATGCTTTCCATCTTCAACTTTATTACATTACTCCAGTAGCCGCATTTTATATTAAAAATCTTTGATGTACATGTAAAAGAAGTACAAAAAACACGATGGCGCACATGGCTTTCAATGAGTGAAAGAATCTCTTTAAGGCACCTGTAGCTATACATTCATATATTTGTACAAATGTTTGCGAGGGATATCGAAATCAGAATTGGTTCTTTCATGTTCTTCAACTTCAACAAGCACAATAAAAAATCATAATCCTTGATATTTATTGCTATGAAGCGGATTTATTGTCAAGCTGACAATTAATATATAAGAATATACGCAAGTGAAATGAAAAAGATATTTACAAACGTATTCGATCCTGCATACCTTCTGTTATAACTCTGCTGGGGGCAAAAGGACGCATGTAATTATGAGCTAATACTAAAGGATTTATCAAAGGATTTTAGAATGAAATTCATTTCGTTTGTGTAGCTAATATTGTAAAGTGTACAGTTTAGGGTGACGAATAAATTATTCCGAATTAGTTGAGTAAATCACGAATTCATACTTTAATAACCACGTGTGACGAGTTTTGTATCAATTTCTCGTAGTTTATTGTCTTTGGGCGTACATTATTATGAGTATGAGTTCCTTAGTGCATGCATAATACGTAATAATCCTGGAAATAATTTGATCTAAATATACCTTTAATATACGACTCAGCCATGTATTTGATTCCACGATGCAAGCGATACAAGACTGAAGATAAAATTGCAACTCAATTTCAATTCCGATCCGACGACTGGAGCTGCTACTTGTGTACGTATGAAAATAGGATAGCGGTATCCAGGAAAGTAATGGAACGTATAAAATAAAGCCGTTTACTTTATTACGGAAGCAGTTCGGTTGAGTCTATTAGTCCACAAGAGACAGCTCTTGGCAATTGGCATGTTTGCTCAAGCTACTTCAATATGGCAAACCCAACCAAAGGGCATTCTCCAAACTTGAATAAAGGGAATCCAATCAATATTGCTTGCGATCTGATATACACAGAAGAACGAGCGTGTGAGCCGTACGAGCAATGCACTCAGTTCCCATCAACAGAGTCAAACAAACTCTTGGGCAACCTTACATGCACAAAACCAACCTGTATTATGGCAAATAATACATATTGCCAGCGAAACCAACCAACTTCTCGCAACGGCGACGACCATTGTGTAGATATCTCGGCTATCTCTGTTGTAGATTCTTCTATTCGAATGGATTTTGGTCTTCGACGACAATCCACTCATCCCATGCATCCTTCTGAACTCAATTGTAAGCTTGTTGTGGTCTCATCTGGGTGGAAGTACAAACAATCCACGCACATACACGGACAAGTCTCCTTCGTCTCGGTTGTCCCCTTATTATTATTGTTGCTGCTGCTTCTTCTCAATATCATGGCGATCTTGTCATCACCAAACGTTATGATTCTGTGTGGAAGGACTAAAAAAACAATATTTACGACACACGCTTAACGGTTTTCATGATGATTGGCTACACTATGAAATGAAATTAAGCACCCTATGATGCGTTAACATGTATGAATCTTTGGGTCACCATTGGGATTTCGAAAAGTATAAAAAGAAGGACATCGTCTGATCTGGATTTTAACCTTTAATACATAATCCGACAACCTAAATCTCACGAGTGTAGGGTGCAGTTCTTATGAGATATATGTGTAAGTTATATACAAACATACATCCCCGGATCTCCATTACGAAGGAATTGAGTAATACTTAATAAAAATAAATATCCCACTACCGACGGTGCGTTATTGTATCAGCAGAACTTCCATGTGAGGTATAAATTGGGTGGACTGGAATAAGTAGCTCGAGAAAGGAATTAATTCGCAATACTCGCCACCAAATGCGAGACATGCCGACAAAAATCAATGAAAATGAATGAGTTCCTTCCTTCCCAATTTGTTCCGATAAAAGAGTAGCAGAGAGAGAAACCTATTCTGCTTATTACTTCACTCGTTGTTGGTGCTACTGAAAAATGTTTTTTTTAGGTTGGGCCAACAGTAAGTACGAACAATAATTGCTCTGCCTCGTACATACTCTGAGCTACAAAAGATTGACATATTAGCTGTCTACTGTTTCTAAAGAAAGTAAGAAAGTTTGAGCAGACCAAGTTTTCATAGATATCGTATCCCTTCAATCATAATATACTTCATTTAGCTCGGTAGCTACCCGACGTGTTTGTTGATCATTGCTACGGAATACAAAAATGTCTGCAATACAAACAGGTCTGCTTTCTCCAACAACTTTTCTCTCAAAGTGAGACGAAATAAAATTGTATTTTTGCAAAATGAAATCACTAATGAAATTCAACCTGATTCCGCCACTGGCATTAAATTTCAATTTATTTGGCTCAAAGTAAACCCCAAATTATAAAATTATACGAATGACGATCAACAAGTCGAGGGAAAAGACCAGAGAGTCGAATTACATCTGCACAATCAGAACTCAAATGTAATCATCTTCCACTACGTAATGCACCACAGGAATTATACATTTCGAACTTTGCATATAGACTCCATCAATGCATATTTCATTTACGATTAATAAGAATTCTAATTAATATCACCCAAAACATGTCCCATAAACTCCCATATATATTTCACTTGTCCTTCCGCTCCGCTCTGCATATGGGTTTAAACATAGACTAGTAATAAATGTGAACCTAAATTAAAAGTGAGTGTAAATAGTTACAAAGGAGAATGTGATGATGAAATGTTTCATTTATCATCGCGTACCAAGTTTTTGAAATGAAAAGTTCCATGAAAAGAAACAAAGAAGAGGAGAAGCGTCCATGAGGCAGCGTTATTATGCCACCCATATCCCGACATGTAAGTGGGTAATGGTGTACGTAATAGGAGGCACGACTGTTGCTTCACAACTATTGTGTTTGCCTGCACTACATACTTGGTTGGGCACGCAGCAGTAGATGATGATGCCAACAAACTTTATTGTTGCAAAAAAAACAACACCCACTTTCCCCATGTCGTGGGCAGAGGAAACAAAGCCAAAGGAACAATGGAGATAATGATGATGAGATGAACCGTGGTGCCCCTGTAATTTACACTCCGCTCCTGCTGCTGAAAAGTTTCTGGCTGGAGGATTCACCTTCAAAATTAAGAGCACATCCAGGCGCCACCACCACTGCTGACTTTTTGACGAGTTTGCTGACATGGTGGTTTGCCCATGCCAACCTCTCTCCAGCAACGGTCATTGATGAGAAGGTAGGATGGTGACCAAGCGACGGAGGATGCAAGACTTGGAGAACGGATGACGACGACGACACCGGTGTGTTTGTGCGGTGAGGGTGACAGGTTGGGCTGAATGGATATGGATACTCATTACTACTGAAGCGAGGAGCCAATTTCCACTGATGGGTGTTATTCGATTATTGCGTTTTGGGTTGCTTCAGCCTAGCCTTTTGATTTCCGCTTCCCATATCCATTACATTAAACATTTGCTACGGTTACGGATCCAAACCTCTCTATCGTAGTTCCTCTTTGTTTTTTGTAC